GCATTCATAGTAAAATAGAAGTGTTTGCTATCATCAAAATAATATTCCCTAAAAATAGATTCGTAACAGACTTTCAATCTCTTATAGCAATCTAGGAGCTTGACGTTTCATTTTGAAGATTATAAATATTATTTTATATTTATTTATTTCCTCGTATTTTAGACATTGCATATATTTCTCATGTGCACTACTAACATTTTTTGCTCAGCATACATAAAGCACTATCAAAGAATAAGAGTTTAAAAAAGTGTGTGAGTTAATATAACTCAAAGTGTTTATAATTTTTATTTTTCTTAAGTTAATATTTATATTAGATGTACATAGTCTTATCAATTGTGCACACACACATAAGGTGAAGTGTAATTAAATTTTTAAAATTTTCTAAAGATTCTGCAAGACAATCTTGAACATACTATATGATAAAAAATTAATTAAAATTTTTAATTAAATGAGATTACTTATAGTTAGTTATAACTAATCATGTTGTACAACCACAACATCCTATTGGATGGTCAATTATCTTTGGTATAAAATTAATTATGTTATATAATATTGGATGGTCATTTAAAATATGTAATAATTTTATATTTAAAATTTCTTCTAATCATACTATATAAAATTATTGTATTATATGATATTTAAAATATTTTCTAATTTAATCCCAATGATTAAGAAATTAAATCAAGAATCATTAAGATTGATGATCATGTTATAAAATCTTGATTATACTAGACTATTTATAGCATTGCCCTTTATACAATAATTAATCTTCCAGGGGTTTATCTTATATGAGCTGTATTTGGTTGAACTAATTATACTTAATGATTTTGGACCATAAAACAGAGGATGAATTAATCATACTATATGATATGATTATCATACTATATTAATAGAAGTGATAGAATTAAAAAATTAGAATTTTTTTAAGCCTTCTATTTAAACTTTTGTTATGAATTTGTAAGTATTTTTGTTAGTTAGAGGTTTGTTTCATCTATGATAGTGTTGAAGAGAAAATATTTAGTAATGGAGAGAAAGGGTGAGGTTGTGTGAGAAGGAGAAGAGCCTTGTAGAATTTAATGGAGTATGAGAGGGGTTTTCACATGATTTCTCTAGCCAAATTGCACCAGAATTCCTCTAGATGTATCTATGTTTATCTTAAGGGAATGTATACAAAGAAGCATTTGGTGTAAATAATTGATCTATCATACCGCACGGAGGAGGTGAAAATATTTATGGAACTCTGATATACTACAAAGGTTAATGGCATTTTGGCTACTCCATTGCACCATGTCGGCTAATAATAATCCATTCTCTTAATTTTGATATCCATCTTGGGACATGGATGATGTACTCTACAAAGTCCTTCATGGACTTCTACTACCACCCTATCAGCTTCCTTGGTTCCCAGGCACCTTTGTCATATTTGATCAAAGGCTCGACGATATAGTGTGTCATTGATAAAAGCATATCGCAAAGCTCTTTTTCGAATCTTAAGGCTCATGAAATTTATGGAAGATCCAAGGTTGATCAAGATCCGGCTAATTATCATCTTATCACTCTCTACTGTAACATAGAGAGAATGGTTATGGTCTACAGTCTCGAGCATCATGTCCTCTTCGGAGAAGGTGATGAATGGCACATTACAAGCTTGTAGAATCTCAGTCAAATTATGTTCAACAAAATATGCCCCGTATCTTTTGAGATCTTTGAGAGCCTGAATCAAAGTCTCCCGAAGGTCCTTAGAAATTACTAAGTTATCGTATATACTGAGTTGTGCAGAAATTATTTTAAGATGGGATAAGTTGTTATAATATATCCCATTGGCTGAGGTGTTCTTTTTCTTAGGATTTTCAAGGAAAATATTATCGTTGATGACTATCTCTTTCTCCTTATCTTTATTGGAGACCACTTTCTTTGGTGGAGGTGGAAGTATTTTGCCACTTCTCAAATGCACTTGAGTGATCTCCTCTAGTTTAGACTCATTTAATGGCATATTTTCTTCAGAGTTGGCCATTTATATGTCTAGGAATTCATCTGTTGATTCATAGTCACCACCCAGGTTTAAATATAACATCCACAATGCTATGTCGAGGTTTGAATCAACTATTTTTGGAAAAAATAGACACTCCATTGAGCTATAATCAATTGAGGTCACCATCAGACAGGATTCAGAAGCTGCTGCCTCTGAGTATCCTTCTTTTATCAATGAATTTAGTGCCATTGGGATGACCCAACATACTTCTATCAAAAGAGAATTCACATCATCATCTTTGGTTTTATCTATTTTAAGCTCTGACATGAAGTCAGCGAGCTTGATAGGTCGCCTCACAGTCTGGTAATATTCATTTAAACCGTCGATAACTCTTTTAGTTGTAGTCATTTTCTCTTTTAGTTTCTTCAGTTTGGTCTTCTTCTTAGAGTGCTTCACATTTCCAGACTTCAAAATGCCAACTTGGTTGGGGAATTATTTGCAAGTAGAATCTCATGTCATGGGCAGAGCTTTCAAATTTAGCACTGGCTCTATAGGAGATTTCCACTTCACCCCTGAAAATACTTTGAGTTGTTTCAACATTTTTACAGTCTTCTTGGAGACTATAGTCTCCCACTACTTTTTTTGAATTGGCTCCTTTTCCATTCTTCTTTCTTTAACCAAGGTTATGGAGGAAGTCGTAACTACCTGAGTTGATTCTTTCCTAGGATGAGTCAGCACATTGTCTGACAATATGAGCTGTCCTCTTCAATATTTTCTCTTAAGCCAGTACATAAATATATAGCAATCTTTAATAGTATAGCAGATTACCAGATAGTATGGGAATAGTTTGGATCTCTCATATGTTTCAATTCCTCGGGCCTCTTGCATTATGTTAGTTTTAAGCCTGCCTTCATTGTCTATCGAAATAACTTGGCAACACTCTTTCTTTTAAATGAATATTTTTTATTCATCTTGTCTTTGAGAGACTGGAATGTTATATCACAAGTTCCAATTACTTTCCTTGGGCATTCTCCTCCACCTTGGAAGGTTTGTGGCCTATTAATTCCCATGAGTATCAACTTCGGTTGGGGGTTAGGGTTGTAGGCCTACTTGTGCTTTTCTTCATACTGCATTGACTGCATGCCCATGTCTATATTATAAACCACCTATTTTTCTTTATTGGTTATGGAGGAAAATGTAGAGTCAGCCTCGCCTCTTCTAGAACCTAAGGCTTTAGCCTTCTTAGGCTTATTAGAGTGGCCCTCTAATTTTAAAAAGTTCAATTTCTCTAACTTGGCCACTCTATCTAGCAGGTCCTAAAATGTGGTAATGGTAGCCATGCATAGAAATGGTTACATCATATTGACAATGTTTCCCATCAATAATTGCACAACATGTTCTTCCTCAAGTTATTGCTCATATTATATACATAAATTATGCTAGTGAGTGATATATTTTGTGGATCTTTCCTAGAGAGAGAAGCTCTGGTGCGTTTTCTAGAGAGAGAAAGCTCTGTTTTTCAAAATTTGTTTTTTGCGGGCTTTCCGTGTCTGGAAATCTGATGTCGAACGATCATCAGATGATCGTCGGCGGGTAATTACTGGTTGATATGGCTTCTCCACGGCCATCTGGACCTCCAAGGGTCAATGGCAAAGGATCGCATGGTGTTGTAATTAGAGAAGGAGTCGTTCCGGTTTGTCGTCAAGAACTTGTTGAAGGTAAGGGGAAGAAAGTTATAGAAGATTATCGTGAAATTAAAAAAGAAGGTGATTTATAGAGTAATCCAGGTTTTGGTAAATTTGATTTCTCGGCTTCAAATAATATCAGTTTGAAGGTGAAGAGTTATTAGGGTGTTCTTGATTTGTTCGGTGGACGGATTATTGAAAATGAAATAAATCCTGAAGGAGGATAGAAGAATGGTATTGTGGCGGATCTCTCTAAGAATCAGATGAAAGATGTAAATTTGATAAATAAGAATGTTGATTACTCTGAGCTAAATGACATTGGGGAAGTGACAGATGCCTGGATGAAAATGAAGCCTATCAAAATCTCGTTCAACAAAGAACAGATTGATTTCTCTGAAGATGGAATTGCCGTCAGGTTAAATGTAGATAAGGAGGCATAGAATTCAAGAATTTTGAAAAATTCCATTGTGATTAAAGTTCTGGGGAATAATGTGTCATTCCCGGTGTGTGGTGTGGAACTAAGGAGACAATGGAGCAAATATGGTGGTTTCCATTTGACGTCATTAGGGATGAATTGGATTCTGGGTTCATTCAAGTCGAGTGAGGTGGTCGATGAAATTCTGAACGGAGGTCCATGGTATGTTAATGGGTGCATTGTGGGGATGGACAAGTGGACGCCTGCGTTTGATCCAAATTCTTTTAAGGGTATTTCTGCTCCAATTTGGATTAGATTACCATGCTTACCTTTGTATTGCTGGGATGAAGACAGTATTGCAAGAATTGCTTCATGTCTTGGATCGCCAATGTACCTTTACGGCAATATGTTTCGCAGGAGTAAGCGTGAATTTGCTCGTGTTTGCGTCAGAATTGACTTGGAGAAAAAACTACCAAATGGAATTTGGGTGGAAGGAATAACTGGAAGATTTTTTCAAAGGGTGGAATATGAAAAAATAGATTTACTTTGCTACCAATGTGGTAAAGTGGGTCATGAGTCCAAAACATGTCCTGATAATGTGAAGATTGGTATCCAGGATCAATCTAAGAAGATGACTGACAAAGCTACAGGGGAAAGTTTAAAGCTTGCTGTTGAAGGTAATAATTCAATAATCAAGGCTGAATATGGACCTTGGATACATGTCCAATTCAAAAATAGAAGATTCAGGAGGAATGCGATGGAAGGAAGAGGTGGAAATGTGAAGGGCAATAATGAGGAGAAAAGTGTTATCAGTAATCATCAGATGGATACAGTTGAAACAATAACATGTGAAAATGAGAAGGACAGGAATGAGATTAATGAACATGTTTAGATAGCTGAGGTGACTCCATTGAAAAATCCTATTAATATGAAGGATTATATTGTTGCTGCTGAGAAATGCGAGACTCTTACAAACAATAGATTTGCTGCATTGATTGAGAAAGATGTGGATAAAGATAAAGAATTAAATGATGAAGATGATATAGCCATGAAAAGGAATGATGTTGTAATAGTTGTTGAAGATAATCGTAGTGCTTTGGGCTCTCAAATTAGTTTGGCCAAGGTCAAGTTAGCTAAGGAATTGAAATCCTTGGGGCCGGTTGAACTAGACCATAAGAAGAAGAAAAAGGTTGGAAGGTTGAACCCCAACAGTGGGGAGACATCTTCTCTACTTTTTTAAATGTCTTCCATTTTATTTTGGAATTGCAGGGGAGCAAGAAAAAGGGAGGCTTCCTTGTATTTGAAAGAAGTTATTAAGAAACATGGAGTATTTTTTGTTGGACTTATGGAGACAAAGTTTTCTATCATCGATAGAAAGGAGATTGATTATCTTATTGGTAGTGAGTGGGAGTTTTTTCACTATCCTACTGTTGGTATCTCTGGTGGAATTCTTGTTCTTTGGAATAGCAAGATGGTGTCTTTTGATGTTATAGAATCTACTTCTCAGGTGGTTATTGGTAATATTTTTGTTCCCTCTTTAGGAACTTGGAGAATTGCTAGTGTGTATGGTAGTATATGTTGCAAGGAGAGAAGTGAACTTTGGAAACAATTGGAAAAGCATTTGAAGAATGACATTCCTTCTATTATAGGAGGAGACTTCAATTGTATTATCCACAAAGAAGATAAGAAAGGAGGGAAGAGGTTCGTGTTCTCTAAGGGACCTAGGGAGATGAAAGGTTTTATGATGAATGCTGATTTTCATGATGTAGGATTTGTGGGACCATGATTCACTTGGTGTAACAACAAGGAGGGGACTTCTCGTATCTGGGAGAGGTTAGACAGATGTTTGGCTAATTCTATTGCTATTCAAAAAATTACTTTAGCAGTTACTAGATATCTTATGAGATTGGCTTCGGATCACTGTCCAATAGTTATTAAGAAGGATGAGAAGGTGCAGTTCAAGTCTAAGAATATTAGATTTGAAGATACTTGGAGGTCATATCCAGCATCCAAGAGTATTGTTTTTCATTCTTGGAACAAGAAGGACTTGGGAGATGAATCTGTGATCCTTCAAAGGAAGCTTAGTCGCACTCTTAAAGCTTTATTTTTTTGGAATAAGAACAAATACAGGGAATTAAATTCGTTGAAGGAGAAGTTGAAAAAAGAAATACTTGAACTTCAAAAAAAGGAAGCATTGGGAATAAATTGGTCGGTTGATGACCTGGAGGCTCTAAGAAGTAAAGTACATGAACTTAATGTCACATTGAAGGCTCTCTACTTGGTGGAATCAAAGGGCTAAGGTTAGGTGGCATGAAGAAGGTGATACAAATTCCAATTTGTTCCATAGTTATGTCATGGCTAGAAGAAAAGGGAATAGAATAACTCAAATCAAAGATGAGCTAAATAATGTATTTAATGAAGATGAACAAATTGAAAGGGTTTTTACCAGTTTTTTTGAAAAAAATGGAAAAACAGGGATTGTAAAGTTTTGGATTGGCCTTCAGTTTTTGAATCACATAAAATTTCTGATGAAGAGGTGATGATTCTAAATGCAGAATTTTATGTTTTGGAGTTACAAAACTCTGTTTTTCAGCAAGGCAATAACAAATCTCCTGGGCTAGATGGGGTTACTTACTCATTCTACGAAAGCTATTGGAGCATTGTATGGGATACTCTTTGGAAGGCTGTTAATAGCTTTTTTAAATCCTGTCATATGCATAATGAGTGGAAGAATACTTTGATTATTATGATTTCTAAAATTAAAAATCCTATGACTCCATCTAATTATAGGCCTATTAGCCTTTGTCAAACCAACTATAAGATTGTGGCTACAATGCTTGTTAATAGATTGAAGAAGGTTATTTCAAAGTTGATTTTAGAAGAACAAGTGGCATTCATTCATGGTAGATCTATTGCAGATCATTGTCTTTTGGCTCAAGAGGTATTTCACAAATTCAAAATCTCCAAGAATAAGAAGGGTTTGATGGCCATTAAACTTGACATGGAGCAAGCTTATGATAGTATGGGATGGACTTCTCTTCGGTATGTTGTTGATTGGTATGGTTTTCCTATTGCTTTTTATAAACTTCTTATAGAATGTGTGGTAGATGTTAGTTTTTCTATAATTATCAATGGGAAGAATTCTAGTTGGATTGATGCTCATAGTGGGTTCCGTCAAGGATGCCCATTATCACCATACTTTTTCATCCTATGTGCTCAACTCTTATCAAATTATATTATGCAAAGGGGACAAAAGCTTGGTATACAAATTTCTCCTAGAGGTCCTGTTGTTACACATCTATTGTACGCAGATGATGTTTTGATCTTCTCTAATGCAAATGTGGAATTAGCAAAGAATTTGAAGAATATTGTGGAAGATTTTTGCAGGTGGACTGGGCAAAAAGTAAATGTTAACAAATCTCAAATGATATTTGGGAAGGTTGTTAAATATTCTATCAAGAAAAAGATTGCTAAAGTTCTTGGTTTTAGATTTGTTAAAGAAATGAAGTATTTGGGAGTTAAGATAGCTCTTAATAGAGTTAAAATGGCTGATTTTCAAGAAATTCTGTGCAATGTGATGGACAAACTCAATGCTTGGAGTAAGAAGTCCCTCTCTTTAGCTGGGAAGTTGATTCTTATAGATAGCTCTTTGTTATCTATGCCTAATTATTTAGTAACTCATTCTATGGTACCCAAGAGGGTTTTATATGTGTTAGAGAAACTTTGTAGAAGTTTTCTTTGGCATAAAAATGAGGAAAGTAAAAGTATGCACTATGTGGCGTGGAAGGATATTTGTAAACCAAGATGCTTTGGAGGTTTGGGAGTACATTCCCCACTTGATAGAATTGGTTCACTTCGATCCAAGTTGGCTTGTAACTTTATTCAGAAGCCACAATCTTTGTTTAATCATGTTATGGTAGAAAGATATGGAAATGATGTGATGAATGGTGCTCAAAGGAAAATCACTTCAGCAGCTTGGAAAATTCTAGTTGATGGTGGTAAATGCTTGAAGATGGTTGTTCGGTGGAGAATAGGGAAGGGTGATAAGGTTAATGTTCTAAATGATACATGGATACTTGATAGCTGTTTTAACAGGTGGCCAACATTCATTGATTGCAATTCATTTGATGGGGTTTATGTATAACATTTTATTCTTACTAATGGATTATGGGATTACAATAAGTTACAGATTTTTTTTCACCTATATTTGATCCACTTGATCAGTCAAGTTCATATTGATTTTGAAGGTGAGGACCAGTTGGAATTGATGAAGAAATGCTCGGGGAAAACTGTTTCAGCATTGGTGTATGAGCATATTCTTATTAACAAATTCAATATGGAGGATACAGATTATTTTTCTTGGCTACAGAAATTGAAGCTTAAGAAAAAGTTAGAAGTTTTTTGGTGGAGATTGTGGAAGGCATCCATTCCAACTAATCTTTTCTTGAAGAACCGTAATATTGCAAATGATGATTTGTGTCCTAGAGGTTGTAATGTAAGTGAAACTTATGAGCATATAATGGTGCATTGCAAACATATGACTGATGTTATAGCAAGAATGGTTGAATGGGGTATTCCTATCCCAGTTTTTAGTTCCCTTGACAGTTGTTTACAAGGATTAAAATGCATTGCACAGGAAAAATCTGGAATTATATAGATTTATTGTAATATAGTTTACCATTCATGAAAGAATAGGAAAAATGTGAAACATGGGAAGGGTGCATTACCTAGTTCAGTGGTTGCTTCTAATTCTATGTTCACAGCCATTTCAAATTCTGGTCCTCATCTTTCTTGCTGGGGTGCTAATCTCCTAAGGGAGTCTCAAAGCACTTGGTGCCCTCCACCGAAAGACTGGATCAAGATCAATGTTGATGCTTCTTTGTTTAAATCTAATGTGGCTGGAATTGGTGGGATCTTAAGAGATCACAAAGGCAGGTTTATAAGTGCTTTTGGAAAGAAGGGATGTCATTGGGATATTGCTCAATTGGAACTTGAAGCTATGTTCTCGGTTAGGGAATTTCTTAAAAGCTGGATGCTGGAATGCAAAGGATTAATCATTGAAAGTGATAGTGCCAATGTGATCAAATTCATTCAAGATTCATTGAAGAAGAATGAACGGTACGTTGATAGATGGCCTAATATTGATTTGTGCTTTCTTAATGATTTCAATAAAGTTGTTTTCCTCCATGCTAATAGAAGATGTAATAAAGTAGCTAATTGTTGTGCTACTTTAGCATTGGAGAAGAGTTTCTTTTTTGATAGTGTTGCTTTTGATCACATCCCTTCCTTGTTGTCTAGTTTAATCAAAGAAGAATGTGATCCTCTTATTACTTGTGCTTACTAGTGCTTTGGATTAATGCATTTTATTGCATTTCTTTCAAAAAAAAAAAGAGTGATATATTTTGTCACTGATTCTTCCCCTTTTCTCTTATCCAAAGTGAGATCAGCGATTGTGATCTTCTCGGTTGCATTGGCAAACCTATTCATGAACATAGATTCTAACTCTATAAATATCTTTATAAAATCATTTGGTAGTTCAACATACCATTCAAATGTAATTGTAGTTAAACTGCTGACGAACTATCATAAGAGTAAGGCGTTGTTGTCTCATGTGTTACTACATATGATCTCAAATTGAGCTAAGTGCTATATGGGATTATTAGTATCATTGAAAGTATTGAACTTTGGTATAGAATATCCTTTAAGATATTACACTTGATCATATTCTGCGAGTTACATATGACCTTTCTCCACTAATTTCTCTGCTTGATCAACAGCTATGAAAGCCTTCATCTTCTCCATAATTATTCCTTCGAGCTGTGCAACAGCCACAAGCTTAAAGATAATGGCAATATTATCTCCTTAAGGATTGTTCGTACTCCTGAAACATGAGGCTTTTAGAAGTTTGGAGGATTGGTAGGAGGATTAGGCTTGGCATCGATAGCAATAATTTTCTACATCATATGTATTATTTCCCCCATCTCAGCCATCATCTCAGTCATCTACTTATTCAACTGGTAGATTTCCATATCTTTAGCTCTCATCTTTCACCTCATCTACCTTCTCATATTGGTGAGTGTAGTGTTTTCATCATCGAGGGGATTCTCCTTTTCTTCTTCCACTTTGTCTTCTCCTTGGAAATGACCACCCCTGCCAGTGGTGGACCCAACTTCATGGAGATGCCGGTGTGCTTACCTAGGTGAAGGTTGCCAATAGTCATCACCTTCATCATCATCGAAGTAGGCCTCATCACCGACATTGGTGTGTCTCCCCTGTAGACCACTTCCATGTCCATTTTGTTATTCCTTTTATCCTTTTCTTGTTCTAAGTATTCTTCAATATTTTCTTCCATGTTTTTTTCATCTTCCTCTTCTAGTACTCAGATCTTAGAGAGGCGACGCCATTGGATTTTTTATTCCTGATTTGGCAAGAAAACTTTTTCGACCTATTAGCTGTGGTAAATGTTGGCTAACTCTTTAGGTGGATTTAGTGAGCGACGGGATCCCGAGGAGGATTCTCCAAGCTGTCGACCGTCAGATTAGGCGCTATCGTGGTCCTTCTTAGGGGTCCATTTTTAATGTTATTTGTCGTTGGGGGCAGATCTCCGGAAAGCTACCTTATATGTCACACCCAGATGAATATTGTTTTCTCTTATTTCTTCATTTTCTTCTTTACAAGGCCTTGGCCCCGAGACTTCTTTTACTTTCCGCCAGGACCTTTCTGTAGTGGATCCATGAACTCGAGGTTCAGGTGTCATGCCCCGATGCTCACCTTACAGAACATAGTTTATTTCTTTTCTCTTTACCATAATAGATAAGCGTTCCCTTTATAGAGTTATCCTAGTTTCAATCATATATGGCCACTGATATTTTCTCTTCTTCAGTCCACTCTATTTCATAGTCTTTAGGACCCTATAAAACCAAGCCAAGAGAGTTTTGAGTTCCTTCTTCTTCTAAGGATTTAGGACTTCAGACTATTGGTGCCAAAATGATTTCTTGAGATCCCTAGTCTATTTATTTCTTTTGACCCATTTAGACCAACAAACCCATTCTTGGTGGGAATGGTTGCCTCTGCTCATAGTCCAGTAAGTTGGAGGGATGGACATGGAGTTATTACTACTGAGCTCAGATCTTAACATTCATCTTTCTCCTTTGCCTCCTTGTAAGCCTTCCTCAAGATGAGGAGACTTTAGCATCATATTTCCCCGGTGCAGATAAACCGGTTGACAGGGTAGTGGTGTTGGAAGTCACCACTACTATTCTTCCTCAAGCTACGGCCCTCTTAGTAGCTGGGGCTTCAAATTGCAATAGCTTCTCAAACACAGAACTTCTCCTATGAGGCTCCTAGATAATAGGTCATAGAGCTAGCAGATGCGCACAATGCATAGCAGCTTGAGGCCTCCTAGAAGGCCTTTTAGTACTCACGCCATTCATAAAAACAACGATAGTCCTTGCAATGACTATAAGGAAGTTGAGGCTACCCAACTAGATGGTATCTCCAGCCTTTCCCGTCTCAATGATAATTTTTGCCTGTTGGATCCTAGCACCTTGTCCCAATTGGACAATCATTGGAGTTCTGTAGATCCATCTGCACGAATGAAAGGTAAGGGTTAGATCTATTGTCCCCTAAATTAGTAATAAAAATTTGATACATCACCCCACACTTTCAAAGTGCAGAAACTTGCACATAATATAAAATAAAATCAGATAATATTAGTGAGCAATTCAAATAACATAAATTTTAAATATTTGTTAAATGTGTTATCTTAATGAATTTTTTTTTTAATGATCATTTTTGGAATATTCAAATTTCTAATTCTTTGAAAGATCAAGTTAAAAAGTTTTGAATTTTAAGCTCAAATTAATTTTTACTTCTACTACAGTGTTGAGATAGCCAAAGATAGAGAGAAACCAATCCCCAATAGAGTCTCCAAAAATTTATGGGCTCCAAAAATTCACCCTGGCCTCCGCCCATGAGTGAGTTTTTGTTTTCTGAGGGGGGGGGGATGAAAGGGCTGGGGGGGGTGCGTGGGAACGGGGGGGGAGTTTTAACAGATTAAGTTCCGAGTTAAATTTTATAAGGGAGATGGGTTTGTAGATAAGACACTGCCCAGATAATTTGCCCTAATTTTTTTAGGACTTTATGATCTGAGTTATGGTTTCTTATAGGCGCGAGCCCCTACAATTAATTACCCCTCTAAACAATGAGAGAGAGCTTTCAATTAAGGCTAGTCATCAATCAAATATGTATAGAGATGTGTGTTATTTGGCATATAGTAGTAGTATGGGTTCGATAATTGAAGAGTTTGGAAATGGTTGAGATTTTGAAGATTTGATATTTAAAATTAGAAATTTTACCATCTTGCACTTAAAATGGATGGTGGGGATAGATGATAGAATCGATTAACATTCCTTGTTTCCGTCATCCCTGTCCATCGTGGTCTCTATGTTGCTTAGTTAGAGGAGGTAGTCAACCCAACTTGACAGAAGGATCCTTGTTGGTAGATATGGGTTGCTTCATCCAAGGGTACCTTGTAGACTCGGGGTGAATGTTTTTCTAAGGGGACAAATTTAAATCCACCTTAGCTATTAAAGAGCTTTGTGCCCTATGAATCATATCCTATATATTCATGTCTCTAGGATTTGATTCAACTAAGGAACATACTAGATCTGTCCCTAATTGATATTTTGTGGTGCCATTTGGCGGCAAAACCCCTTAGTTCAAAGAGCCTCGGGTCATAATTGTTTATCCTACGATGCCATTTGGTGGTAAAATCATCAGTCAGAGGACACATACCACATCCTTATTGGTAGGAGATTGTTTGAGAATTAATCTTAGTGATATTTTCGACTAAGCATTTGGCTCTATTTGAGTTGAAGTTATATTCAAATGTGTCCACCTCGTCAAACTATTATGGAAGGTGGATGGATTTTTACTTTAATCATTAGGATGGTTGAATTTCAATTTTAAATATTTAGACTTGGATGATTTTGGAATTTTGTAATTATTTGGGTGGAGCTTTGAATGTTGGAATCAACACTCTGGTTAAGATTTGTATTCAACACAGCCATCATCAGGGTGTTTAAGGGCATTTTCATTTATGGACTGAATACTGTCAACACAATCGAGCTGTTGATAGAAGATCAGGTTCAATATAGGCTTTGTGACTTTATTAGTGAATTCTCATTGCTATAGACATTGAATGCTCAAAATGAACGTATTAAGATAAATATATATGTCGTTGTAATCATAGATTTGTTTGATGGTTCGAACCCTGTGGACTCCTATTAATTCGCATAGAAGGTTTAGATTCAAACTTTAATTTACTTATTGACCCATGGAGCATCCCTAGACATCACATGTGTACCAATAATATGCTCGTCGGGGCCCATATGGGTTATATAATTGTGCTTTCCAACCCTTTTTAGTGTACTTATATGCATATAAACTATAGTGTATATGGAGGGATATTTTTAGATATTTGGCAGATATACTACATGTCTCCTATAATAACTTATAGGAGACTTTATTTGTTATAGTTTTTTGTATTTTCTGTGGGTGGTATATTGGATACACAATCAATATTTATTAAGAGGCTTGTAAGCATCAATAATCTTATCCATCTTAATATTCAAAACCTGGTTGAACTGAGATTCACTGGATCCATAATGATTTGATCTGACTTTCTATTCCCAAAACTTGTATATGGATTAGTGTAAAACTCCTTGATTATGCCATCATCATAATTTTCTGCTGTCAGCTTAAATAAAGAATAAATCCTTTCAACCTTAGGTGATTGTGTTTTACTGATGTCTTGTACTTTAAAATCAATGGTTCCTACCTCGAGTGGACATGGTAGCAATTAAAGGTATAATAGGTTGTCTAGGAGAACCATGCAAGACATCTATCTCTAAAATAATTGTTATAGTCTTTGATGTGGATGGAATAACAGATGTGTTTTCTATTTGTAATTATGAGTTTAGACCACCTCATTTTTGCATTAATCTTTAACAACACATCTGTTAAATATTAATCATCAACTCTAGTGGGGGAAATAAACTATGCATTGACATTCACTTGAATACATGTAAATGTATTACCTTGTCGTTTAACTATATATTAAATGCTTCTAGTTAGAACTAACATTTTGGATGTAGCATGAGTCTCCTACAGTGTCATTGAATCCTTTTGCATACCTTCTAGCATTTGTAAGGACTATTGTATAGTTAGAAGACAGTTATCATCGGTCATAGGAAATGCCTTATGACTTATGTGAACTTCGCACATAGTCTGCTATCTTTCATGTGAAATTTATTTAAGAGGCTCCATACATCTATTTGTAGC